ATCCAACCCCCTACTTTTGCGCAATTTTTATTTTTGGGGTCACATTCGGCAAAGCGCCCCAGCCCTTCAAAATGCAACTAATTTAAAACTTGGTCTTGCATAACGAATCTTGGTAATTTTTTTTCTATGATACAGCGTGGATATCGACCCCTGTGAATATGTTGTGGTGCGTAGACCACAATAACCGTGCGTAAACTACGCTTTGACAATGACCTGTTAATACAAGTAAAATGCAGTAAATATTTCATGCCATATTCAGTTTACCTCTCAAAAATGGCTAGTTATTAGTTATTTGGAAAAACAATGTCGTTCGCTGAAATCAATTCCAACAGATCGTACTTTGACATCGATAATTCACTTCCGCATTGCTTTACTGGAAAGTCTTCGGGAATTTACGAAGAATTGCGTTGGTACAATACAGCATTCTGATTGGTTAATAACCAACTTGACCCATTATGTCAAAGGAATCATGGTGGAAAGTGATTTTCATCGAGAGTTTGCATACGATCCAACACCTTCGCCAGTGGAGATAATAACTAAGACTGTGTTCCAACAGACTCTAATGTTTTTAATATCGTAAATTCTGGTGGTACGTAATTAATATTGTGATAAAATGTGCATATTTTTTTGTTATCATTTCTGTTTCTTCATTGTGAAAATCAATAACGACGCAACTAATTTCGTAATTTGATTTTCCCTCATTGACATAATCTGTCACATGATGAATCAAAATTTTCATTTTCACTCTTTTTGAGGGGGGTGCTCGGGTAAGCGCCCACCCCTAAAAAATCACGATTTTTGGAGTTGAGGCCCCTGTGTTCCAACATACTCTAATGTTTTTAATTTCGTGAATTATGGTGGTACGTAATTAATATTGTGATAAAATGTGCATATTTTGTGGGATCATTTCTGTTTTTTCATTGGGAAAATCAATGACGACGCAACTAATTTCGTAATTTGATTTTCCCTCATTGACGCAATCTGTCACATGATGAATCAAAATTTTCATTTGCACTCTTTTTGAGGGGGGTGCTCGGGTAAGCGCCCACCCCTAAAAAATCATGATTTTCGGAGTTGAGGCCCCTGGGCGCTAACGCGGTCCAGTACGATAATATCCAGTATAGTTTCTATGTAATTTACATTACACACGCCAGCATAAATTACTGTACACTGAAAACAAATATCAAGCTATTTATATTGGCATGGTGGTGTTTTTTTAAGAAAACTGGATACTTCAGTTACGTTTAGTAAAGTATCAAGAATTTCTTATGTTGTTGTGGACTACATGGAATCTTATCCCAGCATTGTTTTGGTGAGCGATCAAGCTGCTGTCTCACAAGGCTACACAATTCTATGTTACTGTATATTCAGTATGTGAAACAGTGCAATATTAACAAAAACTATTATATAATTTTGTAAGTGCTTGGATTTCAACCCAAACAAAGCAGGTCTGTTGATTTTTCAGAGCAACTACATTATGTGGTTCTTGAGATATCAACGACAAACACTTAAACACAAAACAGAAGAATGCCACATCATACTCTTGAATAGACGTCAATGACTACGGGAAAACTTAAAATTAGACTTTAATTTCGGAGTCAGGAAAGATTGAAATGTTCGAAAAATGTTGCCTACATTGGAGATTATACAATAGATTGTAATCTGAACAAGAAAATAGCTTTGAGCTAGTCTAATTCCAGTCCAGGACACACAGAATCTGCATTTGTTGTAATTCAAAACACTAGAACTAGAATGTGGTCAACTAGTTAATAAAACATAGTTGAACTCTGGTGACCTTGCCCTTTGTTATATAATATAATTCCGTTTAACATAGTTTGTTTCAATATAAATATACATTGTCATAATTAATTTTGAATACAATAAAGTTTTGGGGTTGAACTAACAGTGGGGAATCAGTCTACCGAATGTCCTTTAAAGATGTAAATATCTTACAAAAACATTGGTGCCTTATTTGTTTAATTATTTTAAGGGACATAATTTCCAGCTTTATTCAAAGTAATTCAGATATTTTAGTATAAAAACAAATGCATCATTGCAAAAAAAAAGTGCTGCATTTAGACGTGAATAGATTCATAAAACATGCAAGATAACAGAAAATCTTAGCTGGCTTTTGTCCAAGTATTTTGTACAGGTGTCTGTCAAAAATTAATGATTCACTGAGACAAATATGAACTGCCTCATTGTGTGACTACTGTATTATATGAAAAGTAAAAAAAAAAAACACCCTTTATGAATAGCTATCATGTTGCAAGCTCTGCTTTAAATAGTTAGTTGGTGTCCAGTGGAGGGAGAAGTCAACAGTACTGTTGCCTCCTGAGAACCTACATCTTCAAACACTGCAATCTTTGTTTGAAGTGAGTTTTTAAACTAGTATTATAAAAACTCTATCATTCTGTTCTAATAGCTGAAACATATTCCTGTGAGTTTT